CTTTGCAGGCCGACGTTCAATTCGGCAGTACAAAGTGATGAGATTATAGGGGGAAGTGCTGGAAAGGGCTCACGTCTTGAGAGCCCGGGTAAGGCTTACAGTAACTGCCTACCTACATATTTCCAGAATTCTTCCTGTCAAGCTAATAGTTGTTCAGATAGTGAACAAATTTCCAGCATTTATGGAACCCGAAGTTTCATTACTGTGTTCGCTATCCTCGTCCAGATGGATGTAGTCCACATCCTCCCATTATGGGCGCTGTGGGGGTGTGAGACGCGGAGAAGGCAAACCAGGCATCTTCCCCCACACCGGAATTAGACTCCGTCGTTTTGAATCACCAAGAGAACTATAACGACCGATCGACCACCGTTTGTCGGCGAAGTTAGTGCCAAATTTAGCGGATAGAGGGTGTCGCGTGGTCAGCGCATTGAATCTCCACGGCCGTTAAATTCGATGTTCTAGACTTGAGCCGCTATTTCCTTGAAATATATCCTCAGTTATCCTCACGAGGCTTCGTGGACCCCGTTCCAGACACACTACTTCTTAGAAAATTTGGTAGCGCCGGGAATCAAACCCGAACCTCTGGATCTGTAGCCAGGAGCTCTGACCGGGAGACCACGGAGGTGGTTTTAGAGAAAGTTATAATTGAATAAAATAAGGAAATATACTAAATATTAATAACAAATAAAAATATTTTTAAAATGTATTCCTCTGTTCTGAACTTTAGGTCGATCAATAAAAATAGTCTTACAAAACTTGAACGTAAATTTCTAGGTAATTTGTCTGGCTGTACCTCCTAGAAATGGGGTTCCAACCCTTCAAATGAATGCTGGCAATGTCTACGCCTCCCATCCCACTTTTTAGATATATTTTAATGTTTCCTTCCATTCACGGAATCTTCCAATTTATCCCATTCCGAGTTTTGTATCAAAACTTCGTACATGGTTCTCTTTCGTGGGCGCTACGCACTTCTCCCATATAATCTGGCACGATCTAGTCTAGTAATTTCTGACGACAAGCACATATTGCGAAGCTCCTCGTTAGGTCCACACTCCTAGCCTCCATAATTTCGGGCAAACATTTTAACATTAAGAGGAGCGAAATTAATTGAAATTATATTTAAACATTAAATTCCTAATCCACAGGGAACCGCCTCTGTCTCCATTACAAAGAAAAACGATCAATACTGTCCAGAAATCCAAACGTTTGGTCCCAAAACCACACGAAGCACACAACTCTGTGGGCATATGCAACTTTTCTAATACTGAAATAGGCAGTAAGTAAAAAGTAAAAAAGTAAAGCTATCCCTGTACAAGGCCGTGAAGGCTCATAGGGTTGTGAGACGTTGAGGGTCCCACATTATCTAGACAATCGGCTCATAGATGGCGGTAAGGTTGTCAGCCTTACGCGCCGGCCGCGCTTTACTCCCCAGGAAAATCATTTAATTAATTCCTGGTACTCATTTCTGTTTGAGGCTGAGTAACCCCAGGGCCTAGTGCGGCTGGAAGGATTAGGTCAACTGAAAATAAAAAATCCAATGACCTCATCGGGACTTGAACCCGTGACCTTCCGGCTTGTAGCCTAGCCCCTCAACCAACTACGCTACTGCGTGACTGAAATAGGCAACACACATAGAAACCAATTTTCGTTAAGGGATTAAAATAGCGGCCCTTCCCTCTCGATTCTTCAATCATTGTTAATCTAGCACGGCCGTAAAATAAGATAAAGTTTAATTAATCGTCACGACGACGCGGTAATACAGCGTCGCGAGGTCTTAACCACCGCACTAGACGGAGGCAGTTAAAGGTGGATTTCAGAACTATTTCTGTGGCTGAGTACCCACTGATTAAGACACAGGGAGACGGCATCCTTAAGTTCAGCGCTCGATGGAGGTCAGTGGCTATCTTCATGCACTAAGCCGCTTCACTCTCTGGTGAGGGGCTTGCGATGCACGCATTGGGCAGATCACTTGGTATGCAGTGTCATTCCTGTCCCTACCGGGATCCAAAATCCGACCGTCCATTTCGTAGCCAGTAATTTTACGTAGGTAATAGACTTCAAATCGTCTCACTAACATTCAGTAAACAGAGTATGGCGGCTGAAGGCGTGGAAAAGGCAATCAGAAATGTGAACTTCAGTGCCTTTCTTTTTAAGTTAACTCGACAGAGCAGAGCCCCTCTTGAAAACTTTGATATTCACTCGACACTCAAGAAATTCCCTGTCTGTATACAAGCCAATACTTCATTGCCTGATTTACAAAAGTCATTGGAAGCTAACCTATGCCAGCTCGATCCAGTTCTATCTCCTTAATATCTCTTCTACTATTGCCTTCTCCTCTAAGCTGAGTGGTCTCTTCACTCCATGGTTTCAGACAAACATTTGTCATTTCTCCTACGCATGCTACACTCCCCACCAATTTCATCCTCCTTGACTTCATGACACTAATAACATTCAAAGAAGAGTACATACCATGAAGGTCCTCAATGTTTATTTTTACCATCCAAATATTGTTTCCTTTCTGTTAGATCCAGACCTTCTACTGAACGCCCTGTGCTAATATAAGTTTTCTTTCCGCAGCGTGACAGACCGAATTTCACTCACATAAGTTCTACATTTAGTCAAATTTGTAGTTTTGAAAGAATGAGCGAGTGTTTGAGAGAAAACGAGAGTATTATTTTCTGCATCAGAAATGTTATACATTGTGCAGGTTGCTCATAGTGTGGGTAGTGCCAATCCCAATTTCTCGACACTAATTTAAAGTAAAGATTTGTCTATCCACAGTTTTGGTACGTTTAATAAGATTTAATAGCTCTCCTTCTGGAGAAATAAGCTGTAGCTAGTGAAACATTCCGCCATTTTCTCTCTTTTTCTTTTATCTGTGAATGTGCAAGACCTCTCTGTGGTTTACTGCAGGTACAAAGAGGTTGTAAAGGTATTTATGTTCGTGAAGTCAGTGTACAGCATCATAAAAACCTGCTACAATGTACAGAACTGCACTTTTTGCTGATCACCAGACATGGGGGGAGGGTTTGCATAAATTTAAGTATTATCTTAAGTGGTATCAGAAAGTTTGAGAACGCCCAATCCGCCTTTTAACACACGAGTACGGATGAAGAGAGGTTTATACCGCGAATAAATGTGGAAGGAGCTGAACTCTCGCCTCCAATTAACAGCGAGATCTGAAAACTAGTTCACATTTACATCTCCTACTCTTCCTTACGAATTATACATTTTCTTTCATCAATTACAGATTGCTATTCTTATAAAAACTGCACAATGAGGAGCTTCATAACTTGTACTCTTCTCCAAGTATAATTAGCAGGGCCCGGATTTTCACGACATGTCAAGTTTTTTTCCTTGTATCCTATGTGATGCTCTTAAATATATAAATCTCGGATATGAGCTGCTGGTTACAGAAATGTAAATTTTATAGGTAATTTTTTTTTGTCATTTTTTTACTTTTTAGGTTTAAGGTCATTTTTTCAATTTGGGGGTAATTTTTTCGTAAAATTTTGGACTTTTAAGCGTATTTCTTGTCATTTTTGCCATTTTAGGGAATTTTCTCCATATGTTTTCTGAAAAGTGAATAACATGGAAGCGAAGTGTTCTTTCTTTTCTCTTTAGGTTATTTTTCTAGATTTTTTCGGTATTTTTTTAATATATTCAGGTCATAAAAATCCGGGCCCTGCATATTACATTTTTGGGTCATATTTTAGGTAATTTTTCTGGATTTTTTCAGTCATTTTTTTAAATATTTTCAGGTCATCAAAATCCGGGCCCTGATAATTAGAATGCTCAAGTCAAGGTGGGTGAGGTGGGCTGGGCATGTAGCACGAATAGAGGTGAAAAGGAATGCATATAGGATACTGGTGGGAAGGCCAGGACAGGGACCACCTGGAAGACCAAGGCGTAGGTGGGTGGACAATATTAAAATGGATGTTAGAGAGATAAGATGGGATGGTGTGGATTGGATTGATCTGGCTCAGGATAGGGACCAGTGGAAGGCTCTTGTGAACACGGTAATGAACCTTCAGGCTCTATAAAATGCTTGGAATTCTTGAAATTCATATTAAAAAAACCCTTACAACATGGAACATATATTCTGACATTTGAATGGGACAAGTGACCTTTAGCTCGGTAAGGGAGACGAGATAAACACGTCACGGACAACTGTCAGAGGCCTTGGGGGAGGGATGAACCAGGAAACTATAATTAATGTCCTGGTCTGGATGAAACAGCATACACATACGTCTGTATACTTTAGAGGTTCTGGCCCTGAACGTAGGGATGTGTTATGAGGATCTGACGGCGTCTCCGTCGGCCTAGACGCCTAATTTGACAGTAGAGCAACCATTTACGTACACCACTTTCTTTTCGTTCGATGGCAAATTTTACACAGTTACACTCTTTACTATCAGAAGTTTTAAGTTAGAACGGGGTTCCTCTTGAGAATTTAAATTATATGCCTCTCGGCTTCCCTGGAAATCCCCCGCCTCTTAAGGAATTCGACGACTCATTGGGGTTCACAAGATTCAGCTAATTATCTATATTCTTAAGCAGATGATTCCAACCCACACCTTTATACCCCACTTCCTTAATAACCATATTAATATTATCATCTATTCTGCACTAAATATTCCGGGTTCATCTTTTCAGTTTTATTAAATAAAATTTTTTATGCGTTTCTTATTACGTTAGGTTATGTGCCGACGATCTATTGATTTAGGCACAATAGATCACTGTGGTCGCGGTGCAAGGGCCAAGAAGGCCCACCCCTTATACATTCATTCATCTATTGATTTGATTATCATGATGATGTTTCGCACATAAGATTAATTACCTTCATGTCTGTGAATTTTGCAAAGAGAAGGTTTGATGATTAAATGTGCGATGAACAACCTCAAAAATAATGGTCACCGTGTTGTAAAATGTTGTTTCAACTTGACAGTTAAAAGGGGCATGCGATGGCGACACACGACAAATGACATTAATACACTGACCTCTGAATCTTGGTGACAGGACGAACCATGACTCGCTTTTCGTCCTTAGGGAGCCGCAGGTAATCTTGGTCACCCAGCAGAAACAGATCCTTGGAAATTATCATCTCCAGGCAAACCAGAGCCCGATGAAAATGATGATAAAGCAGTGGTGGTTGTGTCACTCCAGCCTGTAGCTGACAACCAATCCACTGTTGTCAGTTCGCCATAACTTGTAACATATGTGTATTTCTTCAAATTTAGTAAATAAAATATACTGATATAAAACTTATTTACGTGTCGTCACACAGCAACACTTCGATTTTATTATTTCTACTAATAAAATAAATGCAACACAACTCAACAGCCCCTCACTCATATATGAAATTATTAACACACTACACTTTGAAACGCACGCTGAAATTCGAACTTCGCACGGTCCCTGCAACCGGTGTACTGTATAGTGTGTCGGTGTTCTCACTGTGCAGACGTCCAATAACGCGCCGTTAGGTAGCCAATAGCAGCCCAGCTCCTTTCTGCCAGTGGGATCGAAGAGAGGGGGAGTTAAGCAAAACGGCTGCTGCCATCTGTGGGTGAGCTTCTGTACTGGAAGCAAGAACACGATCCGCAACTCAGAAGACTCAGAACTCCAAACCGCTTCCTGAGATACACGTGCTTTATTTTGGATACCATTCATCCGGAAACCCCATACGTATTCATACGACGCCGTTAAGATTGGTCAACAGTTGTGCGATACAGAGAGCGTATCGCATTACGTACGACGTAAACTTGAATTCTTGGTTCGATTCTCACTAGAACATGAATCCTCTAACAAGTCATATTTGTCAATTTTATTATATTTTAATTTATTTCTAATAGTTACTTAATATATCGTATACTTCCTTATCTCTTTGTCCTTCCTTTTTCGCTTTCCTATCTTTTTCTCTCTCTTCTTTATTTAGTTTCTTCTCTTCGCCCTTTCTTAGTTCCTTAATCATTTTCTTCGTATTTCGTTATCCGTTATTCGTTTTATCCCTTTCTTCTTTCTTTTGCATTTATTGTTTTATTTCCTCCTTTACATGTTTTATTGCTTTATTTCTCTCTTGTCCCTTTATGTTTCTTTCTTCTATTTTCATTTTTTTATTTCTTTCTTCCTTCCTTTTTTATTACTTGCTTCCTTTGTTTATTTGTTCTTTCTTTTCTTTCTTTGTTATTTCCTTTATATTCTTTTCTTTCCTTCATTCATATGTTTGTGGAGCTGGGTTAGCGCAGCCGGTATAACGGCTGGCTACGGGCTGGACGGCCGAGGGGTCGGAGTTCGTGTCCCGGTAGGATCAAGAATTTTCTCTTCTCCACTCCGTCCAGACCGGTTCTGGAACCTACCCAGCCTCCTATCCAATGGGTACCGGGGGACCTTTCCCCGGGGGTAAAGCGGTAGAGTCCTGAAGCTGATCACTCACCTCCAACTAGTGCCGAGGTCAAGAAAACATGGATCTCTATATCCACTCCCCCATACGTCTTCATGCCGTAGTGCTTAATTAACTACGCACGGGGACAGCTTTATCGTATTTTATCCTTCATATAATTATGTTATCCGTTTCTCTTCCTTTGTCTCTTTTTCTATTTTTCTTCTTTCCTTTATCTGTCTCTTTTCTTCTTCCTTTATTCTTTCCTTTTTTTCTTTTATCCATTTCTTTCTTCTTTCGTTCGTCTCTTTTTCTTTCTTCTTCGTCTGTTTGCTACTTGTTCCCTTCTTTTCTTTCGCGTTTATTACTTAGTTGATAGTTTGTGTGAATTTTTCGGAGCATTTGGTAATTTCGCCTAACCTTCATACGAATGCTAGGATAGTGTTTTAACAGAGGCTTCCCGATGCCCTGTTCATGGTAAAAACTTCTGTGCGAACTTTGCATAATTCGTTGCCAGTTGTTCATTAAAACGCCAACCTGTGACAAGACTTAAAAAGCGATGAAGAACGTGTTACACCTGTCTATGAAAGGAGGTGTGCACGTGAAGATCTCTGTACATCACTGATTCATAAGGTTATTTAACGACTTGGAAAGATTGATAACAGCCATAGCAATTTTCATCAATTCAGCAGTCGAAATTGGAATCCACTACCCGACTGCTTTTGTAATGTTTCACTGCTGCATCAAAGCGATATTTTTGTTGTTCGACACGAGGACAATCCGATTAAAAGAAACGACTGAGTGATCGACAAGGAGCTATGTATAATTCTGCCCTGATCTGAAGGTATCGCTTCCAATCGATCTGCAAGTCCCGTTATCGAAATTATCTGACAGGTCGATGACACCGAGTCACTCACCTGATTTCTGATTCTCTGATTCAACCGCAAGATTTAACCACGGAGTCCATGGTATATCATGATCACACCCAAATACCAGGCACTTCATAACGTTTCAGTTGAAACGGGATAGTTAAGCAGTCGTACTTCAACTTTCTGCGTCGTACATTGAGGTGGACCCTCTGTCTGAATATACGGTAGGTTGTAGACTTCTACAACGAAGGGTGTCATGTTCTAACAGAGATGCTAGCTGCAAGAAGACAACTCACTACAAACATAATTTATGTTTCCTTGTTCCCGTAACAGAGAACGCCATAATTCTGAGTCTTGACTAATGGAAATATTTTTTCCACACTAGTGACAAGAAGACGAGAAAGAAGACGTAAGAAGATGCTGGATGACCTTGGGGACAGAAGAGGATACTGTCATTTCAAGGAGAAAGCTCTAGATCGCATTAAGTGGAGGAATTGTTATGGAAGAGACTGTGGACCTGTCGTTTGACAGATTACTGATGATGATGATGACTCCTAGAATACCTGAGACTTCTGGTCTGTTCTTATTTGTGTGATTGCAAACATCACTGGAAGAAAAATTGTCCCGCAGTTTCTCAACCAAAATTATAGCCTTATTATTGGTGGGGTTTCAACAGGATACACTCTCGCTACCATGGGAAAGCTGAAACAAGGAAAGTGATTTTACACGTACATTACAAGCAGCATGGAAATATTTACTCAACAATAAATGGGACAATTGTCATAAAGAAACTGATTTTGTAGTTTAGTTTAGACAAGTTAGGTAACGTATGCATATCTAACAATTCCGGAATATGAACGCACTTTTCTCTTATTATCTCTAAACCCGTAAAATATGAAGCATAACCCTGTAAAATACTGCATGAATATTAACACGCCGTAAATAGCCCACACCAATAATATCCAAAATATGTAAGTAACCACAACATGTTTTTATAGTCACGCATAAAATACGAAATAGCCCTCACAAATGTAACACACAATACACGTACTTTGTCCTAGATTCTTACAGCGCAACCTCGGGCGTAATGACATTCACCTTGAGAGAGGCACAACAACATGGCTTCCCACATTATTCACACAACACTGAAGACTCGGAACATTGCATAAGAAATTTTAACATGATGTTACACAATCTTAATATCTGTTCTAATAATTCTAATATCTTTATGTTTTAATTATATAACATTCAATTTTATTCCATGGCTTTATCTTGTAATATGATGTAATTCCAACATATTATTCATCTTTGATAAACATTACATGCTAATACTTTTAATACAAATTCTTTATATACTCTTAATATTATTGAGAAAGTCAAAACTGTAATTCTTACATTCTAACTCAGGCACAACATTATAATATGGTCGTGTTGCACTAAATATGGATCCATATTTACGAGTTCATAACTTCAGCCGTACAATCATAATACTGCCTGATGATTATTCCATGAAGACGGAATTTTCACATAGTGGGGGAGGGGGGTGGAGTCCCACTGGGTTCACTCGGCACGGCGGCCACAGATTGGCCTATTGTACCTGCCCCGGGTGATTATGCTGATGGAGAATTTGGTGGAATGAAGATTGGCAGGGGTAACCGAAGTAGTCGGAGAAAACCTGCCCCAGAGCCACTTTGTCCACCACAAATCCCACTTGACCAAACCTGGGTGTGAACCCGGACCGCCGCGGTGGGAAGCCAGCGACTAACCGCTTGAGTTATAGCGCGGCCTTATGAGGACGGAAACACGTAGCCGTAGAAAATAAAATCAAATTCAATCTAAGCATTGACTGATTGTAAAACCACGTTTGTTGTACTGACGGAAACCTTACCTTGCCATATACAATATAAAGCATAAGGCCGCGCCATAGCTCAAGCGGTTAGTCGCTGGCTTCCCACCGCGGCGGCCCGGGTCTCGTCAAGTGGGATTTGTGGTAGACAAAGTGGCGCTCGGGCGGGTTTTCTCCGAGTACTTCAGTTTCCCCTGCGAATCTTCATTCCACCAATTGCTCCACAATCATCCTCAACTATCATCTGGGGCTGGTACAATAGGCCAGAAGTGGCCGAAGTACAAGGGACTTA